ATTCACGGCACCTTTTCTCACTTGTCGATTTTTAGTAATAACTCGAGCTCAGCATCACCTCACAACTCTTTTTGGCAATTGGACTTCCTTTACCGTTTCCAATACATGTTTTGAATATTCGTCAAATCGGATCATAAAAAAGATTTTTAGTAATAACTCAACTCCAGCGCCAACTGGCGGGTTAAATTGTGAAACTAAGCTATCCAGAGACTCACTCAAACACACAAACAACTTTTTTGAAATTCCTCCAGCCATTTAGGATTTCACTCACAAACATACCTACAGAAGAATTATATACACATTCAAAGATAAGGAAAAGTCAGTACGTTTGTACTTTGCCATGCCCTCTTTTCAAAGAGCCCATTTTTCTCCTTGAGTATGGGATTGATTTCGTATATCTCTATACGAAGTTCCAGTACTGTACCACGAACACTTCCAGAGATATGCAGTATGAAATCCGGCTTGTATGGTACGTATGGCACGCCCCCTTTTCCAATAGCTCCATATTTTCTCAAAGACTATTCGATTGGTTTCATATATCTCCCCACCAAGTTCCAGTACTCTACCAAGAACAATTCTAGAGATATGCAATAAGAAAAATTCGACTTGTATGGGAGGTGCCACGCTGGTATAAAGTTTCAGTACTCTACCGTAAACACTTCCAGAGTTACTTATTATGAAAAATTCGGTTTATATGGGAGGTGCCACGCTCCATTTTCAAATAGTCCAAAATTTTCTTCATGAGTATGCGATTGATTTCTACTCTACCATGAACATTTCCAGAGATATACAGTATGAAAAATTCGGTTTGTATATGAGGTGCCACGCCCCTTTTCCAATAATTCCACTTTTGCTCCATGAGTATGTGATTGATTTCATATATTTCCGTATCAAGTTCAAAAATTTCTCTAATTTTTCTCAAGAGTATGCGATTGATTTCATATACATACATAGTATGCCCATACCAAGTTCCAGTACTCTAGCATGAACACTTCGGTGTTCGGTGAAAATTCGGTTTATATGGGAGGTGCCACGCTCCCTTTTCAAATAGTCCGAATTTTTCCTCACGAGCATGCGATAGATTTCATATATCTCCGCACCCAGATCCATTGCTGTACCATGAACACTTCCAGAGAAATGCAGTATGAAAAATTCGTATGGGAGGGCCCATGCGCTTTTACAATAGCTCAAATTTTTCTTAAGAGTATGCGATTGATTTCATATACATAGTACCTCCATACCAAGTTCCAGTACTCTACCATGAACGTTTCCAGAGATATACAGTGTGAAAAATTCGGTTGTATATGAGGTGCCACGCCTCTTTTCCAATAGCTCCAATTTCTCTCTATGAATATGTGACTGATTTCATATACCAAGTTCAAAAATGTTACCATGAACGCTTCGACTACTTACTTTAGTTAGGATTAGACATGGGTTAGCCAAGGATTAGAGACATGAGCCTCTTAAAAATAATAAGGGATTTAATTTTTTTTAATTTTGTGTTGCGTCGTTATTGCAGAGGACCATCGGCATGTGAATTCATATATTTCGATAATGAAATAAATTCGAGCATAAATACGATTTTTAGTTACGTATACATATTATTTTTCCTGTTATCAATACATATTTTGAATCTGAGGATAATCCGACCATAAACCCGATTTTTAGTAATAACTCGACTCCAACGCCACCTGGAGGCTCTTTTTTTACAACGCTTTTATCAACTTGCAATGTTGTGAGTCCAGAAACTTTCAATGTTGTGGATTCAGAAACTTTCAATGTTGTGTGTCCGACACCAAAGCAAAGCTTTGAAGCATAGTGCATAGGGCGACAGCTGTAGTGAATAGGGCGAGGTAGATGACATCTAGATGTCGCCCTATGTACTACGTTTGCTACAGCGGAAATAGACGACACGCCATTTCTTTAAATAAAATTAATTGGTGCTCGTTTGTATGTACATACATATGTAAATGCATGTGTGTGCACCTTTCTATTAATATCGTTGAATTATTTTAATATCTATTGCAAAATTTTATTCAGACAGGACTAAAAAGTAGAAAATAAATAATATAAAAAAAAACTTTTTAATATACAACGCTTTTATAAATGGACTAAAAAGTAGAAAATAATATTTCTCAGTCCCATAGAATTTGTTTTGATAACTTTTGATTTTGAAATTTTAGCAAAAGTCATTATAAACAATCTATGAAATTGAAAATGAAAAGCGTGGGGCGCATGTAATACATTTGAATTGATATGAAAAGTAATATATGTATGTATGTATGTGGGTATATGAATAACGACCGCTTAAAATCGATTTCAAAGTTCTCCTTTCGCTGTAGAAATTTTAGGTCTACGTTATGTAGTTTGACTATTGTCAATTAAATCGAATGCTTTGTATTGCATGCGCTCCACGTTTTTCATTTTCAATTTCATAGATTGTTTATAATGACTTTTGCTAAAATTTCAAAATCAAAAGTTATCAAAACAAATTCTATGGGACTGAGAAATATTATTTTCTACTTTTTAGTCCATTTATAAAAGCGTTGTATATTAAAAAGATTTTTTTATATTACTTATTTGCAATGATATTGCTTTCCATATTGTCAATACACATCTCAAATATGAGGCGAATCGGACCATAAATACGGGTTTTACTAATAACTCGACTCCAGCGCCACCTAGCGGTTGTTTTAATATATATAGATTAATATTTGCATAAATCTATATTTACTATACATATGTTACTAATTTCAGTTTTATGCCTAAGTATATTTTCCATTCCAGAAATGTTGAGTAAATTTCTATGTTTTTACTGTATGTAGTACAAAAATACGTAGCTAGGTATTCTTCAAAGTAGTTGACCTAAGGTGCGATCAATCTTTTTATGTAAATATTAAAGTACATAAATGTAGGTGTGTATATACATATGTATGTATGTATGTACACATTATATTTATTCGAATTTCTGGTTGCCACATGCCTTAGCAGCAAAAAATAAATCACTATCAAGAATTTATAATAAAATCGCTGTGCCTTTTTACTTTGGAACTTTTAACAATTTACATACATTTCTTAGTGATAAGTACTCATATAATATACATGCGTACATACATACATACGTATGTAATCATTTAGGAATCCCACGTGAAATAATCATATGTTTGAGGGCTCATTTTATGAATGACATTCGTTATATGTACATCGGGAATTGGAAAAATACTTTTATTGGTAAATATTTTTTATTGTAAATTTATTGGTACCCACATACATATGTACAAATCTATGTACATATGTATGTATATATGGACATACAACAAATGCTGTCGTTAATTTTTATATTTAATAACTATATTTTATTTAATACCTATTCTTCTTTTCGTTTTTTGACTCACTTGTAAGGTTAAGGTCTGGCGCCAGCAAATTTTGCTTAGCTATACAATTAATAAATTTTTTCTAATTTGATCCGTAATAAGCTGATATGTATGTGCAATAATTTGCTTGTTGCAAAAGCTTAGCGCTAAAACACAAACAACAAAAAAAGAAGCTAGAAGTGGCAACGATCGGTTAGTTGTAACCGCAATTAACATTTATTTTGTACGTGCACACAATCATTCCCGGAAAGTCATTTAAAAGCATAAGAACATTTTGTTGCTGTTGGAAATTTTGTTATATTGTTTAGAACTTAAGTACCTAGCCGCTCAGTTAACGTGTAGATTTTTTTCACGATTTAAACCCGTCTGATTCACACCCCTATGGCGAGTGTTTACTGCTAGTAGATAAACGACTATTATTCGATTATCGCTTTTTTATGGTATTGTGAACGTAATTGTCTCGTTCAACAAGTCTGTGTGAATAAATAATAGGCGCTCATCCTTCTACAAATAAACAGTTGAAGAAGGATGAGCGCCTAAGAACTATTCACAGTCGCTTATAACATTTGGGTTGGAGGCTAATAAACATTTTGGTTGGAGGTCAAATGGGGATCCAATATATGTTCCAATTTTCAATGTTGATTTTCCAGTGTACCTCAATTGGAGAACTAGCCCATTTTTTTTGAAAGCGCGCAGTATTTTTGGTATGCAAAATCATTTACCTATGTATGTTGGTAAGTTCTCCGCTTGAGAAAAGCTTAGATGTCAACTTTAATTCAAACTTTATCAAACTTTGGAGAAATATGTTGTACCTCCACTTGAGAATCAAAAATTTGTCAAATATTGGAAAAAATCTGGAAAAAGTTTGCTTTGTGCATATGAGGTTATGATATGTATTACGATGTACATATGCACATAAATAATTGCTTAAGTTCAAGTACATATGTACATACATATGCATGTGCGTTTCTAGCCTCCATATAGAAAATGAAGCTATCTATCTGTCTAGCTTTCAAATCCAGCGAAGCTGTTTGTTTTCTACTACACTCAGCAAAACTGAAAACCATAAAAATATTTTAATAATCTCACGCCTGAAGCATTTAAGCAAGGCAGAAGTAGGTACCTAAAATAATTGTTCACAAGCAGTAGGTACTATTGTAAAACCTAGTCTGCTTACTCATTATTTAACACTAAACACATACTTAAGTGGGCAAATGATGAATGAGAAAAGTTAAGTTGCTACAATTTTTTAGCAACTTAAACTTATGTTCAACATTTTTGTCTATCGCCAAATCTGCATCTAGTTATATGTACATAAGACATAATAGACATACAGAAAGCAACTAATTAGCAAAAAAATATTTAGCAGATATACTTAGCATATACTTACTAATACATATGTATTTATGTATGTATATATAGCTAAGTATAATACATAAGTATATATGTACCTAATCAACTGTTAGCTGTTTTGACGAAAAAATCATTTGTGTTCTTTCCTTTGCAGTACAACGAGCACAAAAATTAAACGATCTATACTGAGCAGAATAGCATACTTATACATACATATGTACATATCTCCGTATATTCTTTGTTTGAGATAGTCAAATACAACTATGTACTTACCTCCATCATCCATTCTGCGACGATTTTGCGCATAGGCGGTGTTATGTCTTTCTGCACCGTCTTGAAATACGTGCAAACCGGTTGTGGTAGCTTTTCTTCTGCTTTTAAAGCATTCTCCAAACAACGATCGGTTAAAAATATCGGATCCACTGTAGCAATATTTACGAAACCCAAATCGCGACTTGGCACTGACTTTAGAAATAAAGCATTACCAGCACTATGCTGATCTTCATAGTAATGCGGTTGCTTTGTCTCTTGCCGCTTCTGCTGCTCCTGTTGCTGTTGATGATGTTGATGGAATTCTTGTTGTACATATTTTTGCTGGATGCAATTCTGTGTGTCTTCTTCCTGACGATACTGACGGCTATGAAGCATATGCGTTGGATTTGCATGGGAACTGTTACTTGTTGCCGAATTATAGCCGGAAGAGGGTGAACTCGAACCCGGCGACAGCAGCGACGAGCTGGAGCTAGAATAGGGCGAGGGTGCGCCGGGCATAACTTGCGTTTGTTGCTGATGTGCTTGTTCCTTTGGTATGTAGATATCTGTATGCTCGGTTTGTGCTGCCCCTGTTGCTATTGCTGTAATTGCTGTTGTTGTTGCGGGTGGTGGTTGTGATTGCGGGTGTGGTTGTGGTTGTATCATTGACTGCGATTGGGCATAGGTATGTGCTCGCGAATGCGCAGGCACATACGGTACTTCACAGTCGTAATCATTCCTTAAATTTTCGGTGCACAAAAGGTCCATTATGCTACAACAAAAATCTTAATGGAATAAAAACCTGCCAGCCACACTTTCAAAGATTCAGAACAGAGCACTAATTTTTGATTTTTTTTTTGTTAAAACACTTTGGTGTACATCGCTTAACTTTTTCAATTGTATTTGCGATTATTTAAATAACATCACCACTTTAAAAATTAGTTTCTTTAAAAAATTAAGCCGGCAGTTCCTGGCGGTTAAAATTAATTGTATGTCCTTTGTTTTCCTGTTTTTTACAACGTTGCAAAATTTCGCAAAAGCATATAAATTCGCTTCCTCTGCTTTGACTTGCTTCTATCGCACAGTGGTTGGTAAAAGTCACAAACGTCGTGTTGCTTTGAAATAAAATTATATTCACAAAATATTCGATCGCTCATTCCGATTTTGCACACTTCTACCAATTTTATCACTCTCAGCATACATATATACTATTCATTTGTTGTTGTGCTTTTAGTAATTCGGAATTAATCGGATTGAATTGCTTTTTTTGTTTTATTTACTTTATTTAACAGCAGCGATCGTTATCAGAAGTGATTTCAAAGTGTTCTCAGCTATTTGGCTACACGATAATCACACTCTTTGAGTTAACGCAACACAAACCACACTTTTTCAAATAATCAACCGGTGCACATGACAGACAGACTGTCACTGTGACAGCGAAATTAGAGCAGACTTTGCCAAATGCGCAACCGCATTATATTCGACGGGGTTGCATTTGCGTCTTGTGGAACGTGTGCTGTGTTGATTTTGCAAGTGGATGCTATTCGGCTGTCACTTGTGTGATTAGAATTTCGTTAAGTTAACATATTTTTGGTTAAATAATTGGTTTTGCTTTAGTTTAAATTGTTTCACGTAGGTAAACAAAGAATGAAATGCTATAAAACATTATAAATTACATGAAATGACGATATTCTCCGTACCGACAAAAAATACTTTAGGAAGCAACCCTGAGTTGGCTGAGCAACATGTATCTAGAACGTCTGATGTGTTGCTAGAGAATTTATATGAGATTTTTAAGTTCTCCGGTTTTGTAATTCTCTAGTGTTGCAAAGGGTGCGCAATAAACCATTAATTTTCTAAATATATGTACACATGTATGTAATTATGTGTTGCGGTATTCTTATGGCTTTATTCATAACAAATAAAGTAGCTTTATGAAAGGTTTATAATGTACGAAAACATCAATTAATAAAGCTCTTTAACAGCCTCATCATGTATCTCAATCGAGCGTTCGTTTCGCCTGCCACACGAATCGTTCGTCAATTGGTACTTTGTACTTCGTTTTCGTCTGGCAACACGAAAACAGCGGATCGTTTCGTTGCTTTCGTCTAGTTTGCAATTTTCTAATAAGAAAAGCAAGGCGAATTAAGACGATAGTCGTTAAAAACAAACGAAAGGTCATAAGTGATCGTCAAGATGTATCGTTCAGCCAAAAAAGTAAATACAGTGGAAAATTTATAAATTTCAAACAAAATAAATGTAATCAATGTAACAAAAAATAATAATTTATGTTTTCACCAATTAAAACACAATTTGAGGTGCTGATTCAAGAGATGGACTAAAATCTGGATCTGGCAAGAGTACCAGTGTTCGCTTCTGATAGAGCCGGGGTTCTGAAGCGATCGGACGGGATAATGGAAGAAGGTAAGCTTATACTTGGCAGCAAAAATCCTGAATATTCTAGTAACATAACCAAAACTACGATTTGTTTATTTTTCTTCAGATATGGGCTGACCCAAGACTGACCTCAAAAGCCGCACAAAAAGGAAGATTGCGTACAGCATCGATACGCATATTGGCACAACCAGGGGAAAAATAGCATATTAAAAAAAAAAATTAAATTATGAATGCCCGGTTACACCAATAAATTTCGAATTTATCAGCCCGTTCAAGTTTAAAATTACTCTATTTTGTTCGGAAAATCAAGAAAATAGTTCAGTTTTCTGAAGTTCTAAAAAAATCTGTTTATGTAAACAAATTTAAATGCAATTTTAGTAAATGTTCGATCCGGATGTATAAATACACACTCACAAACGTTCTAAATACTTTTCGTTCTTCAGGTTTAAGGCTATTTATTTCTTGTAAAGTTGAGAAAGGAGATCGGGGAAATTTTTCACGATCGATGGATATCTCTCCGGGAATGGGATTTATTATATGGTTCATTAAATTGTTAAATTTATTGTTATTGTATTAACTCGATTTACGTTTTTATTGTTTTGAAAAATTCTTACAAAATGTTTACTAAAGCGACACCTCCTTCCATATACTCTTTCGAATATTTTGTCCGGAAGAGTTGAAGAAAATTTATAAAACGAATACATTCTCCATAAAAATTAACGAATATAG